ATCATGGGTGACTTTAATCTTCCTGATGTAAATTGGAAAACAAAATTTAGCTACTTGTGCCAGGAGCACACATATTCTAAACTCCCTACTGGGATTGTCTCTAAAACAAGTTGTTGAGGAGCCAACTCGTAAAGAGGCCATACTAGATTTAGTGTTAACAAATGGAGATTTGGTATCAGATGTTACTGTAGGTGAAAGTTTAGGATCCAGTGATCACAAAAACAAAAGTTTTAGACTTTAGAAAAACAGGCTTTTCTAAAATTAGAATATGGGTAGAGGAGTCATTATCAGACTGGAGCAATTTAAATGGAGTCCAAGAAAAATGGGATTATTTAAAAGTTGCACTATTGAAGGCAACAGAAAATTGCATTAGGCTTGTCAGTAAAAGCAAAAATTCAAGAAACCACTGTGGTACTCCGCAGATGTGGCCAAAATAGTTAAAAACAAAAAAGTTAGCATTTAGGAATTATAAAAAAACCCAGAGTGAGGGAGACAAAATGATCTATAAGATTAGGCAGAAAGAGGCTAAGCAAGTTATAAGAGCTTCCAAATCACACACAGAAGAGAAAATAGCACAGTCAGTAAAAAAGGGGATAAAACATTTTTAGATACATAAATGAGAAATGAAAAGTAAAACAAGGATTAGTTAGATTAAAAACAAAAGAAGGAAGGTATGTAGAAGAGGATAAAGGTCTAGCTGACTGCCTCAATGAAAATTTTTGTTCTGTATTTACAGATGAAAATGAAGGAAAGGGACCTCAGTTGAGAAAAGGATAAATGAGTCATTTATTACACGTGAGTTTACAGAGGAAGAGGTTCTATTTCAACTGTCAAAAGTAAAGACAAATAAGTCAATGGGACCTGATGGAATACACCCAAAGCTATTAAAAGAGCTTAGTGGTGTACTAGCAAAACCATTAACAGATTTATTTACCCAATCATTGTTAACAGGAGTAGTCCCAGAAGATTGGAAGTTAGCGAATGTTGTGCCCATTTACAAGAAAGGTAATGGGGAGGAGTCGGGCAACTATAGGCCAGTAAGCCTTACTTCAGTAGTGGGGAAAGTGATGGAAACCATGTTAAAGGATAAGATTGATGAACATCTAAAAACACATGGATTTCAAGATCAGAGACAACATGGGTTTACTTCAGGGAGATCATGCCAAACTAATCTTATTGATTTTTTGATTGGGTAACTAAAACTATAGATCAGGGTGGTGCAGTAGACATTGCTTACCTAGATTTCAGTAAGGCTTTTGACACTGTTGCACATAGAAGGCTTATCAATAAACTGCAATCTTTAAGTTTGGATTCCAATATTGTTGAATGGGTAAGGCAGTGGCTGAGTGACAGGCAACAGAGGGTTGTAGTTAATGGAATATATTCAAGCTTGGACTTGTCACCAGTGGGGTACCTCAGGGATCTGTACTTGGACCCATTCTCTTTAATATTTTTATTAGTGATATTGAAGAAGGTCTTGATGGTAAGGTATGTCTTTTTGCTGATGATACTAAGATATGTAACAGGGTTGATGTTCCAGGAGGGATAAGCCAAATGGCAAATGATTTAGGTAAATTAGAAAAATGGTCAGAACTGACATTTAACGTGGATATGTGCAAGATAATGCATCTTGGATGTAAAAACCCAAGGGCAGAGTACAGAATATTTGATAGAGTCCTAACCTCAACATCTGAGGAAAGGGATTTAGGGTGATTATTTCTGATGACTTAAAGGTAGGCAGACAATGTAATAGAGCAGCAGGAAATGCTAGCAGAATGCTTGGTTGTATAGGAGAGGTATTAGCAGTAGAAAGAGGGAAGTGCTCATGCCATTGTACAGACCTCACTTGGAGTATTGTACACAGTACTGGAGACCGTATCTTCAGAAGGATATTGATACCTTGGAGAGGGTTCAGAGAAGGGCTACTAAACTGGTTCATGGATTGCGGGATAAAACTTACCAGGAAAGGTTAAAGGATCTTAACATGTATAGCTTGGAGGAAAGACGAGACAGGGGGGATATGATAGAAACATTTAAATATATAAAGGGAATCAACACAGTAAAGGAGGAGACTATATTTAAAAAGAAGAAAAACTACCACAACAAGAGGACATAGTCTTAAATTAGAGGGACAAAGGTTTAAAAATAATATCAGGAAGTATTACTTTACTGAGGGTAGTGGATGCATGGAATAGCCTTCCAGCTGAAGTGGTAGAGGTTAACACAGTAAAGGAGTTTAAGCATGCATGGGATAGGCATAAGGCTATCCTAACTATAAGATAAGGCTAGGGACTAATGAAAGTTTTTAGAAAATTGGGCAGACTAGATGGGCCGAATGGTTCTTATCTGCCGTCACATTCTGTGTTTCATGTTTCTATGTTTCTTTGCTTAGTCTGGTAGGAAATGATGCCAGGCCATAGAGGTGACTGAATAAAGATATGACTATGTGTACAGGTTTTTAAAATTATAAACTGAATATGTAATAATTATGAACATAATTATGAAGTGGTGGTCCCTATGGAGATTTGAAAGAATTAATCTCTCTGTGTACTCAAGCACCCTTTAAAGGTGCAAAATCTTTACTTTACATTTAGGGACAAATGTAAATTTATATTTCAGATGACCTGCTTTATGAGACACTTTTGTTGTTCCAGTAAATTTCTGCAAAAAATATTTTCATATAAACAGCCCACGTCACTTACCCTCATTAAGTGTTTTGAAATAGCTTTTTTTGTTCTGCCCTTCACTGGCTTAGATTGCACACATGCTCTCTTAGCTGGTTTAACAATCCAATCACAGGCTTCTATATGAAAAGCATGCGTGCAACATCACGTCATAGATGCACACGCACATTTTGGAGTCAGAGACAACCAATACAGCCTAAAGAGGGTTATTTAAACCCATATTACTTTTTTGTCTGTGCCCTGTTGTGGTTTCCACTAGCTGGTCATCCGAGAGTGTGTTACTGATCGTGTTTTTTCTGGTATTTGACTTTGGCTTTGTTTCGACTTCCCTGATTTCTGTTATCCTTGACTTCTGGCTTTACTCATCGTGGTGTCTCATTTTGTTTCCCTGACCTCGGCAAGTATTTTGACTATTCACTGGTACGTTAAGTCCGGCCATTCTAAGGTCCGGTTAGACGTTATCCTTAGTCCTAGGTGTGATACTATTCTGCGTGCTGGATCAACTATAATCCTGACAATGAGGTGTCAGAACAATATACGTTTTTAGTAAAAATAGGGAGATGGTTTAAATATGATCTGATGCCATCACAATATTTATGTAAACTCTACCCATTGACAGCAAAGGCTGATGAACGTGAAATGACAGTTTGTATCAAAGTGTAACAGGAATTGTACATACAATATGTTTATTAAATTTGAAACAATGTTATTTATAAGGTACATGTACCACTAGAGGGTGCTGTAGGGGCATCTTTTATTCTTAAATGCTTGATTGATATTTACTGTTTTCCCTACAAACTCTAAAATAGCTTCTTCTGAAGGATTAGTCTGGCCATTTTAGAAATGTTATGAAATATCATTGAAGTCATTTATGTCAGGATTACAGTTAATCCAGCACGCAGAATAGTATCACACATAGGACAAAGGATAATGTCTAACCGGACCTTAGAATGGCTGGACTTAATGTACCAGAGAAGAGTCAATATACTAGCCGAGGTCAGGGACACAATACGAGACACAGCGATAAGGAAAAGCCAATAGTCAAGGATACCAGAAGTCAGGAAGTCAAAACGAAGCCAAAGTCAAACACCAGAAACTCACGATCAGGAACACACTCTTGGATAACCATCTAAGGGCAATAAGCTTAAGGAATAATTGAGTTTAAATAACCTTCTTGTAGATCCGATTGGCCGTACCCCAGAACGTGCG